AACATAACATAACATAACATAACATAACATAACATAACATAACATAAAATGTTTGAGTGACTCTTCAATCACCCTCACTTAATCAATCATCTAATGATCCAGATCACATTGTATAAGAAGGCTTTTCCTGTCCTTATCCAAAAATTGATGTAGTGGTTAAGGGGTAAATAAAATGACAAAAGATGAGCACTGGGTGTTGTATGTAAGTGATGAACCACGGGAATCTACCCCAAAACCAAGAGCACACTTTACACACTGTATGTTAGCCAACTTGACAATAAATTATATTTAAAAAATAATAATAATAAATAAAATCACAAATATTTGAATATTGGGGGGAAAATCAACAACCAACAAAACATACTGTACAAGTGAAGGACAATTCCTATCATAATGAAAAGCTACAATAATTAAAACTGAGCGGTGGTGGCAGACAAATAGAACAACAGACCATAATAAATAATCAGAAATAGATCTGTGTGCCAAGAGGACTAAGTATATTCAAAATAAATTACAGATGAAATGGTTTAAATGTAAAAAATTAAGCCATTAACAGAAGAAACCATCGAGAAACATTTTTAACAATGGTACAGTGGGAAGCCCTTTCAGAGCATCATACAGAGCCCATAAGCCCTGAGAGAAATGATTAATCTGACTTACTAAAAATCAGATATTTCTGTATAGTAAAAAGCCTCCATATGAAATGGCAAAAAAACTAGGAAAAAATATTTGTAACTCACATTACAGACAAAGGATTAATTCCATTAATGAATAAGGAACTCCTACAAATCCATAGGAAAAGAATCTAAGGAAAATGGGGCGGGGGGGGGTGGAGAGGGAGGGAATAGGAAAGGGTTCACGGAACAATAATGGTTCTCATAAACATTTTTCTTAATAAGAGGAATATAACTTTTTACCTATCATACTGGTGATAGTTTACAGTTTAATAACACCCTATATTGGCATGGATATGGAGAAATAAATACTCTTCTACATCGTTGGTGACATAACTTCCTGGAGAACAATTTAGCAATACCTATCAAAATTGAAATGTACATACCCTTTGGCCTAAAAATTCTACTTCTAGGAATATCCTACAGTAAAAAAATGACCTATACGCAAGGTTATTTGCTGTAGCACTGTTACTAACTGCAAATGATTGGAAGTAATCTAAAAGTCCATTACCAGGGGAGCGGTTAAATAAATTATGATACATATACACAATGGAATATTATAAAATGACAGCTGTAAAAAAGAAAAAGCACTTTATATAATGACTTGGAATGAATTACAAGACCTATCAAGGAAAAACCATGATGTAGAATAATAATTATAGCATGCTTTTATTTGTGTGAAAAATCAGGAGGTGTAGCAAAGAAAATTATTCATATTTTCTCTTATAAACATAAAAATTCTTTAGAAATAAACTGGTAAACAGAAGTTACCTAAAGGATTGAAAGGAAAGAAGATGTTTCACTGAATACAGTTTTATGCTTCTTGTGTTTTTAAGCATATAAATGTATTGTTTATTTTAAAAATTAAATATTTTAAAGCAAGTTACAGAATGACATATATAGTGCGATCTTAATATTTTAAAAAGCACACAAATGCATAGAAAAAAAGAAGAAGATCTATCAAAATGTTAAAGAGTGATTGTTATTAGTTGGTATTGAGGGTGATGTTTACTTTCTCCAAATTCTTTTTTGGTATTTTCCAAATTTTCAACAAATTAAAAACATATATTACTTATATATTCAGAAAAGAAAAATACACAGAAGTCTTTTCTGTTATTATTGTTATTTTTTAAATTGGGCTGCCTATATTGCCAAGAAAAGGTTTCTTCTTGGTGGTGGAAAAGAGGGGGATCTTTTTACTTCTCCTATTCAGCTGAGGAATCTTAGAGACTGAGTGTCTCCACATTTCTAAGCAGTAGAAAAGAAATGATCAAATATTCCTTGCCTTATGGAAAAACTAAAAGGTAGCCCAGATGCAGGCTGTCAGGGAAAATGAGATACCTCTAAGAATATGGTCATGATATCATAGCTTTCCAAAGGCCCTGAGTGATTTAAAAAAATAAAGTTCACATTCCATAACACATCCTTTAAAAGCACAGAATAGATATGACCAGCATGAATCACTGTATCCCTTCCCCCTCTCCAAGGGCACAACACCCAGAATAGCTTCCTGATGACGCAGCAGCCAGAAGCCTTTGAAAGCCTTAATCTTTAGGGAGGAAATGAAAGGGAAAAATAAGTCCTTGACACAGACATTAATTGTTAGGTCTTTCCAAGGCAGAACAAAGCAGCAGTGAAATTGGTATTGATCTTTTGGTTTTGATTCTTTCCATTAGAGCCTATAGTTGAAAAGTGTGTGTATGACAGATTTGCCTGGTTTGCTTTCACTAATTAACACTACTGCTATTTTGCAGATGACCATATACTTTAATATTTTTCATTTCGATGACCACATGCTCTCACAGATATCACTTATTAATAACTGTAACAAGATATGTTATTATTGGTTTGCATTTACCAAGCATCCTTCATTTGGAATTCCATTGACTTTACTATTTCATGAAATCGTTTTCTAAGAAAAAAGACATTTTCTTTTTCTGGCACAGATGGTAAAACGGTCTTGTAATATGGTAAAGTGATTACTCTAGATGACAATGTAAAATTAGTAATAGAACCAAGGAGAGAACCTTTTTGCTATCAAGATGCAAGTACTTAACCACTCACCAACTGCCACTGATCTAGTAGTTATTTTGGTCATCAGCCTGGGAAACTTGTATTGAGTTTTTGTAAAACATGTGGCATGATTCCCAAGTTTCTGGCTTAGGAGACCTGAGTGGCTAGCAATGCCACAAATCAGTGTTAAAAATAGGAGAAAGGGCAATCTCATGAGGAAAATAAGTTTGTTTTGGGTCATGCTGTGCTTAGCCTACAGGACAAAGAGCCAGATGATAATGTATAGCAGACAGCTTGTCTTATGGATCTGGAGTTCAGGAGAGGTGTCTGAGCTAGGGGTCTTTAGTACAAAGGTGATAGTTAACACAATGCAAGTGGATGAAGCTGTTTCAGGTAAACGTACAGAGTAAAAAGAGATAAGGACATAGGACAGAATCCCATTAAAAACTAAAACCCAAAAAGAAGAGATTCCAGGGAAAGAAACTAAGAAGGAATGGTCACAGGGGTAGCAGAAGGACTCTACGACATTAGAAGATAATAATGCTATACAAGTCATGGTGTGATGATGGTCAACAACGAAGAACATAAGACAGTGTTCAAAAGGGAAGAAATGTTCATGGATCTGGTAACATGGACATCATTTTACTTAAACTTCAGTAGCAAGATCACCAGTTGTAAGGGCAAAAGCCAGATTGCAGTGGGTTATTTGTTTTATAAATTCCAGTCTTCATAACTATTTTTTATAGGACTACATGTAACTTGAAACTTAGGAAATAATTAATAAATGTTTCTTTAATTTTGTATGTGCCACAAACTGCACTAGGTAAATTTGTATGCTATTTCATTTAATCTTTCCATCAAACATGATACAAATAACATTATTCTCATTTTTATAGATGAGAAAAGCAAGCCTCAAAAAAATTATTACCTAACAGTTAAGATCAACTGTCAGCTTATGTTTTTTAAAGCTTTTCATGTATATTATCTCATTTAATTCTCACAATAATTCAACGAGGGAGGTATCAGTGTTACCTCATTTTACAAATGAGGAAACAGAGGCACAAAGAAATAACTTACCCAATACCACATAGTTCTGAAGCTGAGATTAAAATATGAACAGTCTGACTCAAGAGTCTATAATTGTAACTACTATGTCATTTTTTCCCCAAGGACCTGAGAAATGAGTCTAGATTTCAATCCAGGTTCTATCTGATTCCAAAGACTTTTGTCAGGCTACCATACAATGTTGCCTCCAAATGTCTAGAATGGTGTTTAAATAACAATAACCATTAAGAAACACTTTGAGAGAGCCTCACTTTCAGAACTTACTCTGAATAAAGAAAATCTAACCTAAGCCAACTTCTCCACTGAATTCTGAAAATGTCAAACAGGAACATTAGTTTGAAGATACTGTTCAGAGATAATACACACATATTTTTAGAAGGAAGGGTAGCATATTAAATCCTATCAACTATAAATACCTTAACACCAATTAGTTGGTTAGCTTTTTTTCAATGTGACTGCTTGAGAATAAATTCTGATTAGAAAAGAGAAAGACAAGCTTAGCTCTAGGGAAAGAGTTCCGGGGTAGAATACTAGACTCTGATATGGGATACGGAGGAGTTGTTCAGGAATACAAGCCTATGCACATATTTGTGAGGTCTGATTTAAAAAAATTTTTTTAAATTTTATTTATATTTTTGAGAGAGACAGAAAGACAGCATGAGCTGGAGAGGAGCAGAAAGAGGGGAGACACAGAATCTGAAGCAGGCTCCAGGCTCCGAGCTGTCAGTGGAGTCCAATGCAGGGCTCATACCCACAAACCGTGAGATCATGACGTGAGCCAAAGTCAGACACTTAACCAACTGGGCCACCAAGGCACCCCTGTGATGTCTGATTTTTTAAGTAGGAGGATACTAGAGCCAATGACTCACTTGACAATTTTATTCAGATCCAAACCTTATTTAAAACACTGCAAATGAAGTAAATGCAAAAGATAAAGCAAAAAACATTACGTATTATTATATTCTACTCTTTATTAATACTCAAAGTTTATTAGTGTTTGAGGATATTACAGAAAAGAAACTCAACACCAATAAAGTTTATATTAAAAAAATTAAGCTATAACTAAAACTACCATTCATAAGAATCAACCAGTTATCTATAAATGATGCTCAGAGGGTATTCTAAAAAAGACAATATTCTGTAATTGATGTGTCCTAGGGTGCTCCTAAGAGAAAAATCCTAGGGATTCATCATCATTGTCCTTATCCTCTTCCTTCTCATCATCATACCACAGTCCCACCTTCAAGGGCTCACAGACTAGTAGCCTTCATCTTCTCCCTGTCAACAACTTAATGCAACTGTTTCTTTTCAGCAAATGATGCAGCCAACCTGGCAAAAAAGAAGAGGTCTACACACCTGGTCGTGGATAAGCCCATGATAGAGGATGCTCTGCATGTCCCTACAAAGCCGCTCCAGGCCACCATACTTGGACCAGACGTTGGGGCTGTTGGCTGACACCAAACCCTCCACAGTAGTCTTCAAATTACCCAGCAACTGCCAGTGCTCCCTCCTGCAAGGGCATCAATTATACCAAAGGTTAGTTAACTCTGTTGTATCTGATCCTAAACATGTCAGAGAAAGTCTAAGCCAAGAGGCCTCCAGCCCAAATCCTAATATTTTTTCCTCTATTAATTTTTACTTGGGCCTAAGACCCAAATCAGAGAGGACTTAAGTTGTAAAGAACACTAAGATTAAAAAAACAAAAACAAAATCCCTCACTCTTAATGAGGCATGTTATGTTTTGTAAGGTGATCTTCATTTTTTATCTCATTCAATTCTCACATAAGTAGCCTATAACCCTCTGTTTCTAAGACTGAGACCCATCAAGATCCATTTCTGGAAATGACAGGACATAAGCAGTGTATAAAGAGATGAGGGGATGTGATCAAAACCAGAAATCTTTTTTAGAACAAAAAAGTCAAAAAAGACCTTTTATTCACTATATTTCCATGCACTAAGTACACATATGTATACACAAATATTATGATTAAGAATGTAAATTGTCCATGATTTCTGCCTCCCCCCCCCCCCCCCATAGTTTTTTAAGCTAAAATCAAGACAAAAAGGTTCTGTTTGCACTGAGCCACTTTGGGACACGCCCCCAAATCAGTCAACTTTTGGCTTATTCTTCTGGACCATCTGAAGTACTGAGGAGGAAAAGTTTGAAAATTGCTGCCCTAAATGGTCTTCAAGGTTCCTCTGAAATCCCCAGCATTTTCTCAACAGTTTCCACCCCAATAAAAACTCAAAACCAACTTCAATTGAATGAAAAAAGTTGGATGCACTGAATCAAACTGGATAAAGAAAACATGAAGAGATGAGGCCCCCAAGTGTCATACTGCACACTTTACCTTGCCCTTCCATTTCTTATTAGAATACTACTCTTTATACTTGTCAAGAACAGTCATGAGAATAATAATTTTTTTCAGGGAATTTTCACCATAACTATTTCACATCGTTTAAATGCCTATCGGGGCAGAAGGGTCCTGAATTGGAATCCTTACTAATTCTATCAGTACTGAAAACTAACTTCTTATGTGCATTTTCTGAGTCATTTTTAAAAGTGGATGAGTAAAGACAAATAAAATATAATGAATGAAGCTAGATCCAGTATAAGAGTATCATCTAAAAAGAGAAAGCTAGATGAATCTCAACTTGGTCTTCTGCTCTCAAGGCCTTAAGACCAAGAATGTATTCAAACTGGGAGACATCAGGCTTTCTTAACCTTACACCATTTAAACATTTGAGTCACCAAACTCATTTGTTCCATTTCTTTCTTCCCCAATTTTATTGAGGTATAATTGACATATAACATTATATTAGCTTGGAGTGTGTAACATAATGATTTGATATATGTATAAACTACAAAATGATTACCACATTAAGCTTAGTTAACATTCATCACATCACATAGTTACAATTTTTTTTCTTGAGATGAGAACATTTAGATCTACTCTCTTAGCAACTTTCAAATATACTATAAGTCTTGTTAACTGTAGTCATCAATGCTGTCATTATATCCCCAGAATTTATTTATCTGATTACTGGAAGTATACCCATTTCCCTCAACCCCCCTCTCTAGCAACCACCAATCAATCTGCTCTCTATTTCTAGGAGTTTGGCTTTTTTTTAGAATCCACATATAAGTGAGATTATACAATATTTGCCTGTCTGACTTATTTCACTTAACATAATGCTCTCAAGGTCCATCCGTGTTGTCAAAAATGGCAGGATTTCCCTTTTTAGGGCTAATATTCCTGCGTGTGTGTGTGTGTGTGTGTATGTGTGTGTGTGTGTGTGTGTGTGTGTGTGTGTGCGTATATCACATTTTCTCTATCCGTTCATCTATCAATGGATACTAAGGTTGTTTCCATGCCTTGGCTATTATAAATAATGCTGCAATGAACACGGGGGTACAGATATCTCTTCAGCATCCTGTTTTTGTTTCCTTTGGATATATACCCAGAAGAAAAACTGCCAGATCACATAGTATTTCTATTTTTAATTTTTGAAGAATCTCCATACTGTTTTCTACAGTGGCCACACCACTATATTCCCACCAACAGTCCACAAGGATTCCTTTTTCTCTACCTTCTCACTAATAACATTTGTTTCCTCTCATCTTTTTGATGACAGTCCTTCTAACAGCTGTGAGGTCCTATCTCACTGCAGTTTTAATTTGCATTTCACTGATAATTAGTGACACTGAGCACCTCTTCATGTACCTGTTGGCCATTGTCCTGTTTTATTTCCATGCCAGTCCTGAGAGAGATCTCAAGATAACTAAGATGTATAGAGGACTTAAATGGTCATTAAAATGCCATACTGTGAGAAACTGCCATCACAGAGGCCAACTGACTGCCAACTGTTGCTTCAGTGACTCTTCATCTTCTATGCTTCCTTAGGGTTAACCTGGCCTGTACAGACTGACACAGTCTTCGCATTGCAACAGGTTACAATTAAATCTTGCAGGCCTGAGAGCAGTTTGCTTCCTCAAGTAACTTTACATACCTATGTTCTGATTTATTCTCCATCTTAACAAGTATAACTGTCAAGGAAAATCATGATAAATTCTGAAATCAGACACCAAGTACCCTATCACCCTGAGGCTTTGATTCCAAAATCATGAGCACTGAAATCCTAGAAACCTGAACATTCAGATCTACTACCAACTTCTACTGAACAAAGCTAAAGACCTTTCTTTCCTCACAATGTAGCATCCCTAAGATACCAAAGCTACAGAAGAGTGTGGCTCTTATTCTAAATTATACCAAACCATTTATATTTGGTATAAGCTCATGCACAAGAAAAGTAAACCTTAAAAAAATTTTATTTACACGGCTAGCCTATTTATTGTCTTTACCTTTTTAGAATCCTTTACCCTAATAATGTAGTTATCACTTCCAGAGAATTGAAATGCTATATTCAAATAGAGCCCACACATAGTAGTTGCATTAATCTATTCATACCTGAATCTTATATGCAATTCAACAGATCATCATGAAAAATCAAATATGCCTCTGTATTCTTTAACCACATTTTCAGTAAGTAAGGTCAATCTTTCTTGGGTTAAACCTGTTCAGTAATAATTATTTGAATGATATCACCTTGAATTCACATGTAACCTTTATCTGGGCAAAAGCAAGGCCTTTGATGTATATTAGATTCAAAGTAGCCCTTTGCAGAGCCACTTCTCCAAGTACACAGAGTGCTCTCCCTTAATCACCATAAATTAAAAGCAAGTCTTTCTAAGCATCTCACCCTGTGCCAAGGAAGCACCAGGCCTAAGTGGCAAGGACAGTATAATCCATTGCTACCTGAATCCTTTTCATCAACAGTTAAGCCAACCTCAGAATAAAGTCCTACCTATTTTCCTTTGGGGTGATTTTGACTTGATTCCTCCTTGAAAGAGGAACAGAAATTGCTTAAGCAACTCAAATAAGGATATTCAAGGAAGAAGTTTTCCTAAATGCCAGCTCAGTCTTAAGCTTGCCAGGTCACAATTAGAAGTGACACTCAAGGGGCCAGGATTACCTTGATACCAAAATAAGACAAAGACACTACCAAAAAAAAAAAAAGAAGACCAATATCTCTGATGAACATAGATGCAAAACTCCTCAACAAAATATTAACAAACCAAATCCAACAATGTATTTAAAAAATCATTCAGCACAATCAAGTGGGATTTACTGTTGGGATATAAGGGTGGTTCAATATTCACAAATCAACCAATGTGATATATCACATTAACAAGAGAAAGGATAAACAATGACATAATCATTTCAACAGATGCAGAAAAAAGCATTTGACAAAATACAACATCTATTCATGATAAAAACCCTCAACAAAGCAGGTTTAGAGGGGGCATACCTCAACATGATAAATGCCGCATATGAAAAACCCACAATGAACATCATACTCAGTGGTGAAAAACAGAGCTTTTCCCCTAAGATCAGGAACAAGACAAGGATGTGTACTCTCACCACTTTTATTCAACATAGGTCTGGAAGTCCTAGCCACAGCAATCAGACAAGAAAAGGAAATAAAAGGCATCCAAATTGGTAAAAAAAAGGAGTAAAATTTTCCCTATTTGCAGACGACATGATACTATATATAGAAAACCCTAAAGATTCCACCAAAAAAAAACTACTAGAAGTGACCAGTGAATTCAGGAAGATTGCAGGATACAAAATTAATGTGGAGAAATTTGTTGCATTTCTACACACTGATAATGAAGTAGCAGAAAATTAAGAAAATCCTATTTACAAATGCACCAAAAATAATAAAATACCTAGAAGTAAACTTAACCAAGTAGGTGAAAAACCTGTATTTTGAAAACTATAAAACACTGATGAAAGAAATTGAAGAGAAAACAAATGGAAAGATATACTATGCTCATGGATTAGAAGAATTAATATTGTTAAAATGTCCATACTACCCAAAGAAATCTACAAATTTAATGCAATCCCTAGCAAAATACCAACAGCATTCTTCACAGAACTAGAACAAATAATCCTAAAATTTGTAGGGAATCCCAAAAGACCCCAAATAAACAAAGCAATCTTGAAAAAGAACAAAACTGGAAGTATCCAATCTCAGATTTCAAGATATTACTACAAAGCTGTAGTAATCAAAACAGTATGGTACTGGCACATAAAAAGACATATAGATCAACAAAATAGAATGGAGAACCCAGAAATAAACCCACCATCATGTAGTCAATTAATCTATGACAAAGCAAGAATATGCAATGGGAAAAAGACAGTCTCTTCAAAAAATGGTGTTGGGAAAACTGGACAGCTACATGCAAAAGAATGAAACCAAATCACTTCACATATACACAAAATAAACTCAAAATGGATTAAGGACTTGGGGCACCTGGGTAGTTCAGTCGGTTCAGTCTGACTCTTGGTTTCATCTCGGGTCATAATCTTACGGTTTGTAAGTTTGAGCCCTGCACTGAGCTCTACGCTGCTGTTGTGCAGCCTGCTTGGGATTCTCTCCTCCTCT